AAAAAAAAAAAAAAAAGACTTAACACAAAGTATAAATTTCATTAAGATGATAAGTTCAGTGTCTTTTTTTACAATGTAAAATGAGAAAAAGAGTTAAAAAGGGTTTGGGTACCTTAACAGTTGACAAAATTATTATTCTAATCACAAGATGACAGTCTTGAAATACATTTAAACAACATCTGGAAAAAGGACAGGAATTCCTGCAGTTTTAAATATGGTAGTATTATATAGTACACTAATTTATATAAAATATGAAGGTACTTTATAGCAGATGCTCAACATGCATCTAGTATTTGACTCATTTTATATAATGCTATGCAATTTTTCCTTATGATCTAAAGCATACCAGTATATCTTGAATCAAATGCAAATACTTTCCTAAATTATAATTAAAGTGAATTGAACTTTCAATCACTGGAGTTTTACTTCCACCTAAAATCAAGGAGCAAAGACTTGATTAACCCTCCTGCTTCGAAACAACCAGTCAAAAATACATTAAAGAGTAACTTACTAAATACCTGGTATCAAGCAGTAAGAGACCATGATCTATGACAAATGAAAACCAGAATAAGTGAGCCCTATGAATGCTGCAGTTTACACCCTTGAAAGTTTCCAGAAATGGCACAGGGAGGAGAATCCAGGCAAAACTAAGTGGATTACCTGAGCTGAGAAATGGAGCTGAGAGTCCAGCAAAACCAAAGTGGCTGGAATTCAGAGGCCTAAGTACTACACTTAGTACTTAGGAGAAGAAAGAGCTACACTGAAGTATACAATATTCCAGAATACTGATTAGCACAGGAATATGAGGAAATAAAAATTGGGTACAGAAACCAGCCAAAAGGATTAAAGGGAACAATGCCCAGAGCTCACAGAGGGTAAAGGTTAGTTCCTGTTCCCACAAGGAGAATGAAAACCTCACACCCCTGGGGCAGTAGGTACTCTGAATGATCTTGTACAGGCAATGGGTGGGGAATAATTATCTTAAGTGAACGCTGCTCACATAACAAATCTTAAAACCAGACACAAAAGGAACAAACTATTTCCAAGTGATTTTACTATATCCCAAAACAAAACTAAAGAAAATTTAGGAAAATTCAAAAACAATTATAAATTGACACAGATGCAGGATTAGCAAAGACATTAAAATAATTATTGTAACTCGATTCTACACATTCAACAAATTAAAAAGAGACATGGAGTATATATTTAACCAACTTATAGAGATAAAAAAAATACGATGGATACAAATATATCACAAATATAACCACAGAAGAAAGTTATTAAACTATCCAAGTGAATAGAAAAAAAGAACCCAAATATGTGAAAAAACAGAAATGTTCTCAATTCAATAAAAATTATGAACAAAACATTCCCTGAAAAAGCTCGATGGGCCTCAAGCACAAAAACCATTAAGAAAACACCAGGTTATGGGACAATTAAACAGCTCAAAACCTGTAATAGAGAAAACTTTTAAAGTAGCCAGAGGAAAAAAAGACACATTTCATTAAAAAATTTAAAAATTTAAAAAACACTGATGATAGACTTCTCATCAACAACAATGTAATCAAGGAGATAGTGGTACATCTTTAAAGTAGAAATGGTCCTGACTTACAATTTTTCAACTTTATGTGATGCAAAAGAGATATGCATTCAGTAGAAACCGTGATGCAAATTATCACTTTTTCGCAGGCTAGTGGTATGACGCTCTCTCATGATACGTGTGCAATGGCAGCAAGCCACAGCTCTCAGTCAGCCGTGCGATCACCATGATAAATAACTGATACTTAAAATCATTCTGTACCCATCCATCTATTCTGTTTTATACTTTCAGTACAGTATTCAATAAGTTACATGAAATATTAGACACTTTATTATAAAATAGGCTTTATATTAGATGACTTTGCCCAACTGCAGGCTAATGAAAGTGTTCTAAGCATATTTAAAGTAGCCTAGGTTAAGCAATGACGTTTGGTAGGTAAGGTGTATTAAACGCATTTTGGGCTTATGACTGAGGATGTAACTCATTATAGTCAAAGATTTGTCCTTACGAGGATATAACTTAAGAATTTTATATCCAGTCAAAATCCTTAAAAAAAAAAAACAGGCAAAATAAAAACTTTTTTAGCAATAAAAAAGTTGAGGGGCACCTGGGTGGCTTGGTTAAGTGTCCAACTTCAGCTCAGGTCATGATCTCACGATCTGTGAGTTCAAGCCCCTGCCTGGGGCTCTGTGCTGACACACAAATCCTCTTCAGATCCTCTGTGCCCTCGCTCTCTGCCCCTCCCCCACTTGTGCACATGCACACTCTCTCAAAAACATATAAACTTATTTTTTAAAAGGTTGAAAGAATTAATCACCAGCAGGTCTACATAAGAAGAAATGTGAAAAGGAGTCTTTCAAGAATAGAAAAAAACAGGTTAAGAGGATCTGCACAAAAAAATGAAGAACAATGGAAATGGTATCTATAAATACATAATATTTTTTTCTTACTTAAATCTCTTTAAAAAAGAACTCTTTAAACAAGAACATGCATACGTCTAAGTATTTTAAGGTACCCATATGATATATGAAGTAACCTAACACTTGCAGGTAGACTGTGATGCTATAAACCACACATAGAAAAAGTCCAAAAGCAAACACTAATAACAAAACGTAACTAGTAAGTCAACAGATATAAGAAAAAACAGAATTATAACAAATACTCATTTATTCCAAAAATAGGACAAAGAAGAGACCAATAAAAAATAAGCAAAATGAACTAAAATTAACCATATCAATAATCACACTAAGTATAAAAGATCTAAACACACAAACAAGGCACTTAAACTTTGGACAGGTTAAAAGTAAAAGGATTCCAGTTTTCAGGATGAAGAGAGTTCTGGACATGGTTGCACAACAATATGAAAGTACTCAAGACTATGAACTGCACACTTTAAAACAGTTACAATGATACGGGTGCCTGGGTGGCTGAGTCAGATAAGCGTCCAACTCCTGATTTTAGCTCAGGTCATGATCTCACTATTCATGAGTTGAAGCCCTACCTACCTTGGGCTCTGCACTGTGAGGACAGAGGTTCTCTCTCTCCCCTCTCTCTCTCTGCCTTTATCCTGCTTGCTCTCTCTCTCAAAATAAATAAACTTAAAATTTTTAAAATAATAAAAATAAAAAAATAAGTTATAATGATAAATTTTATGTTATGTGTTTTTTTACCACAATTTGTTTCAGAAAGTAAAAGAATAAAGAGATATCATAAGCCAAAAAAAAGCTGGAGGAGCATCTAGGTGAATTATAAGAGAAAGTAAATTTTTTCAACAAAAAATATTGTTAGGGATAAAGGTCATTTTATAACAATAAGAAGATTCGTTCATCAAGAGAACAGAATGCTAAACATTTACACCTAATAACAGAGCTTCAAAGTAGTCAGAGAACAAAATCTGATAGAAATGCAAGGAAAAATAGACAAATCCATAGCCAGAGAGTTCAATAATTCTATCTTGATAATAATACAAGTAAGACAGAAAATAAGGATATAGAAAACTTGATTAACACTATCAACAAAGCTGACCTTCCTGCCCATTGCAAGACACTGCAAAA